CCCAAGTCTATGGCTGAGCAGAAAGATAGGAGGTCACAAAGGGCCAACATTATCAAAATGGGAAATGGGCTGGAAGAAGATGGCTTGGCCGTGAGAATCGACCTGATACAGACACTGCATTTGGGACAGATGCTGGCCATAAAGAAGTTTGCAGACCCAAGGTGAATACCATCCGACCTTGGGGTGATGATGAACCGACTTACCCCCTGTTTGCCAAGCCTGAATCAGAATGGGGCTTGTAAATGCTCTGGGAACTCTGTAGGAGAGTTGGCAGTGTTGTGAGGTGCTTCAGAGAGCGCAGACTGTGTTAGACGCACAGGTCCCATGGGTCATTTGGTAATGTCACAGAGTTGCTAAGGAGGGTCAAGAAAGTCCACATATAGAATGTCTGGCTTGCAATGGAAACTGACCCAGGGAAGGCTCTGCCACCCAAGACACACCTGAACCTCAGTGTCCTATAGACTAGCCTGGGGCTAGCCTGGGGCTTGTCTGTACAGCTGAGGCTGTACATTCTGGCTCTACATTACAGTACCAGCACAGGCTTTTAAACATCTTGATGTCCAGGGTATCACTTCAAATCCAATTCATCAGCCTGTCTCAGGGGAGATCAGGGATCTGGGATCTTTTTGTTTTTAATTTTGTGTACAGCATTTTGTCTGTGTGTATGTCTGCAGGCCAGAAGAGGGCACCAGAGCTCATTACAGATGGTTGTGAACCACCATGTGGTTGCTGGGAATTGAACTCAGGACCTTTGGAAGAACAGGCAATGCTCTTAACCACTGAGCCATCTCTCCAGCCTGCTAGCTAGCTCTTCTATCTTTGGTTAACCCATTTCTATTATTTTATATTTTACCATGGGGCTTGTGACCTACTAGCAAAGTTCTGGCTGGCGGCTCACGTCCTTCTCCTCTGGCAGCTTGACTCTGCTTATTCTCTCTCCCTATATTTCTTTTATCCTGGCTTTACTCTGTTAAGCCATTGGCCGAAAGTAATAAACCAATGGCAATAAAATATATTCACAGCATACGTCACCTCTCCCATCAATAGTGCAGGTTTGTAGTCACAGCGCCCAGGGGGTAGAGGCAAGAGGATCAAAAGTTCAAAATCATCCTTGGCTGTACAGCAAGCTCAAGTCCTGCTTGGCTGACTCAAAAGCAAAGCAAAACAGAAACCTAACAACAGCGAATTTTGAACTGCAGTTGTTAAGATATTAAAAAGAAAAGCCATGCACTTTGTTACGGTATTGGATATTAAGATCTAGCAGTGAGTCTAACAGCTACCGGTGTTGGTAAGAATGGTGGGTAGACAACATTGGTGTGCCTGTCATACCTGGTCCCCATAGAAGGACATGTGTGATGTCTGTTTGGGGATAGAGTCAAAGGTGCTGCCATGCCTCCTGTGGTGTGTTACTAGTTCTTATGAGCATGCTGGGATTGGATTAGAGGTTAGTAGCACCATTTCTCTGCTGAACTATGTCCCCAGAATCTACTCAAAGACTCCATGGGTTCTGCAGCCTTAGACTAAGACTGAGGCCCCTTGGGAGGAGGATGGGGACTGAGAACAAGGAACAGCTTTGATGCCGTGGTGGAAGTCAGAACCCCATCTGAACCGTTTCTTCATCTGAAGGCCTTGCCTGGATCCTGAGGGCTGAGACCTGTGTGAAATGTGGATGTCCTAGGGCCTGGGGTATGCAGAGAAGGAACCTAAACTTCAGAGTGAAGTTTGGCAAGGTTCTTTGGATGTATGGTAACCAACTAACCAAAATAAACAAAACAAAGACCAAACCAAAGAGGTGATCGAATAAAGAAAACGTAAATTACTTCCTGGCAGGTAAAAAAATAATCCAAATTAACCAACCTCCTTTGGCAGTTGGTATCTGCAGAGAGAAGACATTGAAATGCATGTCCCCTCAATACAGCAACCCATAGTTCTTTGGACTTTATTTGGTTCTGTAATTCTAATCCTTTACATTCGTTACCACTTGCTCCTTCAGAACCTCCAGAATATTTCATAGTCTAGAGTGTGCAAGGGCAGTTCCCCAGTTTCCTCGTGGACACCCCAATTTTTTCAGGAAGCCTGACTGTTTTTTACCAGGCTGGTCAACAGGTCTTAGCAGTAAGCCACACTGCACCCCTTTCTTTCCTGCCAATCGGTTTGCCCATCTCTCCACAGCCTGCTTGTGAGAGGGGAACACCTTCTTCACTATCTCCAAGCTGCTTCCCAAACCTGTCCTTAAGCCCTGGGACTTCTGATATTTCCTGGGAAGTGCCCCACTGATGGGCTCCATCTCTGCTTCTGGCAGGAATAAGTTGATTCTGTGGGAGATTGAAAAGACCACACAAATGCAGGCAGAGAAAGGCCGCCTGGGAAGCCACTCCCAGGCGGGGAGGGCCTGGGAGGGCCTGGCTGGAGCAGAAAGCTGCCCACTCTTTTTCTAGCCCTTCAGCTTCCACGTTTGATGTGTTGGTTCACAGCCAGGATGAGCCTTAGGCAGAGAAATGCTACCTGTTGGGACCCGCGGCTGCACCCCATCCACCCCCTGCGAAGGTCTTTTCAGTAAGCGCTGGTGAGATGAATTAATGAGACTTGTGTAGGTGTGGTGCGTACATTCTGCTGCAGAGCAGGGCTCAGAGCTCCCCATCAAGCCCAGTTGTGATGAGACTCCCTTCTGGGCTGGTTGGTACTTCCTCGGGTTTCCTAACAGGCTTTTGTGGGTTGGTTTGAATGTCTGCCGTGCCAGGGAGGCCTCGCATTCCTCCGGCGTGCGGCTGCCTTGCCTAGCGGGGTTGGGAGGAAATCTGTTGGCAGCGTCCCTTTGTGAAGGCGGAAAGCCATGTGGGAAAGGCTGCTGTTAATCTGAGCATCTCCCCCGGAGCCTCCTCCCCCCACACGAGGAGGGCTGAGATAAAGCCTCCCGGTGCAGCGGGTGGCAATTAGGACCCGCTGCTTTTACCAATGCTTTTATAGTTGCCTGTAGCATGGGCGATAGCAAGATGTGGTTGGGTGGAGCGTGGGTGGGGACAGGGGGGCCTACAGTCGTGACCTAACTATGCAGCTCTTCACATGCACACTCGGGACCACTTGTGAAATGCTGTGGCAAGGAGAAACAGACGGAAATGATCCTGTTTGTGGCTTACAAGTTCCCAGAGCTTCATGTAGAGTTGTGTGATGTCTTAGGGCTCAGGACTATGAGGCATGACCATGTGGACAGAGACAGCAGCTGTTACTGATTGTACAGTTGCTAAGACCATGCCATGTACTATTACCGTTGGTCGTCATGATAGGTCTGTATGGAGGTTCTGTCCCAATGCCCAGTGTTCAGATGAGGAAACAAACTTGCAAGGGGTTAGGGATGAGCCAAGACCTTCCAGTAGATGTGGGGTTTGAATGTGGGCCCTTGTGCCAGTATGATTCTTGTCCTTGCACTGTTTGGAAATTCCGTTCTCTGTAGCCCGAGGCTGGCCTTGAATTCACTATGTAGCCGAGGATAACCCAGAACTTCTGTTCCTCTGGTCTCCACTCTCTGAATGCTAGGGTTCCAGGTTCGTGCCACCACCCGCAGCCTTATGTGATTCTGGGGATCGAACCCAGGGAGCTGCGCACGATAACCACTGAGCTACACCTCCATCTGCTTGGTGTCCTTATTAGTGGAAAGATCTGGACATAAGCAGTCTCAAATAGAAGGATGCCAGGTAGAGTTGTGTCCCGACACGCCAGGGATCGTCATGGGCGGTCTGCACTGGTGGAGCTGGGGTAGGGTAGAGGCTCTGGTTGCGCCTGTGGAAGAATCAAGGCCCTGCTGCATGGCTGTCACTCTACCCCTGTAGCCACCGGTCCAGAAAAGCAGCTTCTGCGGTTGGAAGCCATCTGTTTGGTTCCAACAACCCTAGCGTGTGAGGACAGTGCCCGGGGTGGCAGGTGCTGTTGGTCTTGTCCTCCTCCTCAGGCTGCGCGGGAAGCTGCTTGCTTGCTGTTCACAGCATGGCACTTGCTCTTGCCGCTGGGTTTCTGGGCTTGGGGCTTGCTCGCACACAGAAGCAAGCCCAGCTGGAATGGAGCAGGCTGCAGTGAGTGCCAAGATGAATGTCCTGAGGATGGGGGGATGGTGCACCCAGGACCCACGCTGGGTGCTTACATCTGCCTTTCACTCCAGCCCCAGGGGGATCTGATGCCCTTTTCTGGTCACCGAGGGCAACCTCCCCCGCCAACATACACATAATTAAAAATAAAAAGGACTCTCTTTTAAAAAGAAAGAATGAAAGCCCCTGGGAGCTGTCCTTAGCCATTGAGGAATGGGAGTTTGTGGATGATTGCCCAGCTCCTTGTCCTTCAGGACTCAACCCCATGTGCCCACAGTGATAACCCATTAATTACACACTGGGTATTGGCCTCCTGTCATTCCCATTTTCCTCCTTATTCAACATGCTATGTACATACAATTCTTATGTCCAAAGTCCAGTCTCTAGCTTTACTATGGCGGAGACCCAAGAGACAGACCCAAAGGGCATGGAATGATCCAATGTTGGTAAAACCTCACCAACACTATAATTTAAAATCAAATGCCAGCATCTTTGAGCAAAGAGCGTCTGTCCCTTTATATTTTGAAGATCATGAAGACGTTTGAAGATGATCCAAGGTTGAGGAGATGGCTTGGTTGGTCAAATGTCTGCCACACACATGAGGATCCCGAGTTTATATCTCCAGCACTGTGAAAAAGCCAGCAGTGGCAGCTTTACATCTGTAAGCCCCAGTGCTGGGGGCATCAGGGTAGGGGACAGAAGCAGGAGGGTCTCTAGATCTCATTGGCGAGCCAGTCTAGCTGGTTTGATGAGCTCTAGGTTAAAGGGGAAACCATGTCTTAAAAAATAACTTGAGGAGTAATTGAGGAAGACACTAATTGTTGACCTCTAGCTTCTACACACACATGTGCATGCACACCTTCTACACACACACACACACACACACACACACACACACACACACATACACACACGTACACATAGTTCCACTATCTTGAGAGAAGGGGAAAGATGACAGGGATGGTAGTCGGGGGAAAGGAGCTTATTAATGAAGATTCTTGGGCACAAATCTTGGGAAGGATGCCCGTGTGGTGTAACTGCTCCCCACAAAGTGATAGAGAAGGTAGCACTGTGCCTGCTTGCGGGAGGGCAGCATTTGAGGCAAGGTTCATGATGGGAGACTGGACTCTTTTTTTTTGATACAGGGTTTCCCTGTGTACCCCTGACTGTCCTGAAACTCACTCTGTAGGCCTCGAACTCAGAAGTCCTGATTTCTGTTTCTGCCTCTTGAGTGCTGGGATTAAAGGCGTGCACCACCACTGCCCAACTGGGAACCTGGACTCTTAAAAGACAACACAGACCAGGGCATTGGTGAGGTAAGGTTGAATGGGGTAGGCTGTTCTTTCTTGGGGGTCCTTCAGTCCACACTGAGCTAGTATGGCAGATAGAAAGACAGAGAAGTAGTGTGGGTGAGTGGTGAGATTGTGGGGTAGGGCCTGATGTCACATTCAGGCTGGGTTCTGCACCTAAGCCAAGACCAGAATCGTATGAAACAGACTCAGGTCACCTGGGCAGCATCACCAGGCTATAGAAGGAGATATCATGTGCCAATCCTCCCCGCCCCCCCCCAAACTTAAATAAAGTAGCTGGTCATCTGTGGATCTCTGTGGCTTGGATTTTCCCTTTACAGGTGGCCAGCCAAGCTCACAGAGCAGACTCTGGTTATTTCAGCAGATGACAGAGAGCTATGACAGTCCTTGTCATCTCTGCCATGTATGGCTTGCCTATGTTGCTTCTAAGCAACCCACATATATCTTCAGGGGTTCTGCAATTGACTGGTCCCTGACATATCCCTTTAGGGCTTCTGCAAGTGAGCTGATACTCAACATTCTTCTCTGCTTAAGCAAGCCTGAACTTGTGCTGTTTGGCTTGCAAGTCCTGTCTGATGAGGGCTCTAGTGACTTACAGGTCTCAACAATCAGCCGTAATTATTGAACATTCACCATGCTGCTGGTCACCCCCACAGTTACACAGCAAAGTGGATATTCTGTGGGCACCTGGGCCAGCTCTAGACACCTGACTCCTAAGTTGAGATTTTTTTACCTTCCCTAAGACCTGTCAGGCCTTCGATGTCCCTGTGGTGGTGGCTGGCTGTCAGCTGCTGCTTTATATTTTGAGAGAGAGGCTATGCATCTCAGACTGGCTGAGTATGACCTTGGCCATCTGACCCTCATGCCTCTGCATCCTGTATGCTGGGATTACAGGCACAAGCCACCACTTTGCAGCATGTTTGCAGGTTGTGCGTGGAACCTAAGGCATTGGATGCACTGGGCAAACATTGCCAGCTGATCTAGATCTCAAACCCAGACAACTGTATATTATGTACATGTGTCCTGATGGAAACTTCCCTCTGTCTTCCCCCTTTTACCTAAGGATGGACATCTTCAGATGCAAGAAAACCATGTCCAGGTCCTCAGTTCAGTGCATCGAACAATGAAATGCCAGAGCAGGAAAGCTGGGAAGAGAATCTTCAGTTTTCCACCTTTCTCTGCATCCGGGTTGTGCTCCAGTTAGGAGTCTCCCCTGCAAACTGCACCCCCAATAGGCCGTGCCTGATCTGCTTCTTCAGTGTGAGTTCCCTCTGAGCCTGACATTACCGTGACCACACTGAAGAGGTCTGGTTCTGACACTCCAGCAAGGTCCTCACAGTGTGTAGAGGATCCGGAACAAGAAATACCAAGCTAGCACGCGGTGAGCATTTACTGTCTGCCAGACATTGTGCCTGAGTACTTTCTCCCATTAGTGCAGACCACATGTTATTGTTGACATCCAAATGCTAAGTAGAACATGTGTCAGGGCTACACAGTGGAATTGGCTCCGCAGAATCATGGCCAAGGGTGGTCAGGCTGGGTGCATATGTCCAGTGCCTTGCTCTTAATCAGGCTTCTGAGACAGTTCCCAGGAAGGCTCACCTTAAATCCTTCCATTGATTTTTACTCAGGTCTGGATTTCTCAGATGTCACATGAAGAAACACGTGCCCACCCGAGAAAAATATGGAAGCTCTCTGTCCAAGATGGAGCCTGGGGAAGCCTTGAACAACTCACTGCTGCCTCCCCACCTCCTTCTCTGGAGAGAAGAGGGAAGGATGGGTGTCTAAGGGACTGACGATTGGACATAGCTGGTCCTAGCTCCAGTTCCTCCAAGCTACCCTTGGCCTGCCCTGCACCTGCCCTCCTACCTAGATGGGGCTCTGCCAGGCGGTGCAGAACTTGGCCCCAGGCTCGTTGGGTTCTGAGCTGATCCTGCACCCCTAGTACATCTCAGCCAAGGGCTGAGTCACACCCTCATTCTCTTTTAATTATTCAGGACCTGACACACTGCCTGGGAATACATCACTCAGAGTACATGGTGGTGAAGATTAAATATTAGAGGCAAGTCTTTTAATTAATTTTTAATGTGTTCTTTAGAACAATTCTTCATACCTAACCACACGCTGAAACAGAGTACTTAAAAGAAAAATTAATGTTCAGGGTCTCAGGGGTTTGTGAGATAGCCCTTATTTTTTTGGTTACCTCTAAGTTCCACGTCAGAGGGTACCATTTGTGGCTTGGAAACAAGATGACAGGTATCCCATCTGGGACTGTCCCCGTGTATATATGGTTGCTGCAATGTATGTATTCATTCCTCAGAGGTTCAGCTTGCGTCGTAAAGCATTTGCTCACCCTACATCAAAACAGTCGCTCTCCTTTCCTAGCAGACATAACTAGTTGATTACAGCACCTTTTCCATGCTGATTCCACACACGTCTTTTCAAAGTGTTCTCTATATAACCTTCCAAGCAGCCCACTCTGGACAGCCACCTCATGTGGTTAAAACAGTTTTGAGATGAGCCATGCTTTTTTCTTGAGAAGGAAGCTTATATCTCACACACACACACACACACACACACACACACACACACACACACACGCACACGCACACACTGTGTTTGGCTTCTCTGAGGGAACATATCTGATAGAAGGAGTGGGGTATTTATTGTACCTCCTCCCCCACATTTTAGAGTACCTGCTGGGGAACACTACTGCCTTGAGTCGGGAATAAATATCAATAGTTTTAACCTGGGCATAGTGCCAGTGCCACATGTCTGTAGTCCCTGTACTCAGGAAGCTAAGAGAATTGCAGGTTCATGGTCAGCCTGGGTTTCCTAAGGAGACCTTGTCTCAAACAAAGCTGGACTGGGGAGATGGCTTAGTGGTTAAGAGCACTGGCTGCTCTTCCAGAGGACCTGGGTTCAATTCCCAGTACCTACATGGTGGCTCACAGCTGTCTATAACTCCAGTTCCAGGGGATTCAACACCCTCACACAGACATACATGCAGGCAAAACACCAGTGCGCACTAAGTAAAAATAAATAATTAAAAACAAACAAACAAAACTTATGAGTCTGAAGAATGTTGATGTCTGATGCTGCTCCATAGCCCCCCTTCCTTCCTTCTAATAATTGGGTGATTTAAAAATCACGGCTTTCAATTCACTCAGTGTTCTAACCTGTCTGGATGGGGGTAGAACAGGGACAGAGGTATTTCTTGGGACAGCTGGCACCCAGTGCAAACCACCAGTGTTGAGTGGCATTTCAAGGCTCAGCATTAGTCACAGACTCTGTTCTCTCTGCTACCTGCATCCTTTTTAAGGCTCTTGGGCTTCCTGACAGCAGGGACACTAAGTCTTAAAAGACCGAGTGGAAATTGTCCTTCTTGAAAGGCGGCCTAGGAGCCTTTATTCCATCATGTCTTCCATACTGTGTGCATTGACAGTCACAGGCTCAACAAGGAAAGATGACCAAAAACTTGAATCAATTGCATGGTTCCTTTGTTCTTCATTCTGAGATCAAGATAATCTTTAAATACGCAAAGGGAGCCAGTCCCATGAACACTCCCATGTTGCCGATGGTGGATCCCAGGCTCCGAGTGTCTTACCTGCATGACTTGCCCATAGCAAATAGGTAGTTAACGAGCTGTCCACTTGAAACAGAGGAAGGTCATGACAAGCTGTGGCATTCCTTTGATCTTCTCAGAACTAGCAGAGCAAGGGACAGACCTCAAGGTCAGAGGGCACAGCCTGCACCAGGATCCATCCTCGGAAGCTCAGCTCTGACACTTGCTGTCTGTCGTGTTTGGCATGTCACTTTTGCTCAGGTGCCCATGCTACCCTAAAGTCCTTTCAGTTCCTCATTCCCCTGCTGGTTTCTGATTCTCTCTGCAAGCCCGACCCTGTGCTGGGCTTAGGGAGTGCAGGGCGAATGTGACAGAGATGGCTCCGGTATCAAGTCTCCAGGGAAGACAGAAAAGGTTGACAGCTGAGCTGAGGAAAGGTGATAGCTGTGAGAGCTAGGGGAAGAGAATCCACGGGAGGCTGTGGGCAGATGGGAGCTGACTTGTCACAGGGTTGGGACAGGTGTCCCGGAGGAAGTGACACTTCCCTGAGATCTAATGGGAGAGATAGATGTTCCAGGCAGATGCCATATGCTGCAGACAGAGCTCCCAGGAGCTCAGGACCGAGGTGGCTGGTCACCGAGGAAGGAAGGGCCCCATGGGGCAGGACTCAGCACCAGGACGGATGCCCTACCAGTTTTGTTATTACCATGAGTCACTCTGAGAACAATGGCAGACATCATGTTTGGGAAAGATGGATCCAAATGCAGCTTGGGAAGGGGTGGGAGGAGGGGGAATACACACAGGCCACATACCCCCACTGACCGATGAAGCTTTTCCTGAACTTGCATGGTGCTGCCCCACCCCCAGTTCTGCAGAGGGTCATGTTCAGCTGGAAGCCACGCTGCTGGTATTGCAGCTGGTGCTCTGCTCGCACGTGCCCTCCAAGGCTCCTCCTAGGATGCTTCAGGGTCTAAAATGCAAGGTAGAGTAGGGGGAGCTGAGAGGTATCCTGGGGACAGACGCAACACACTGCTCTCTTTAGGCCTCCAGAGTATTTGCTTAGACTGGGGGCCCCAGCTCTCTCCTCCTCTCCCGGCAGTCTAGGCGCTGCCCAGCTGGTTTCTCTCTAGCCTCCTGTTGTGGGCAGGAAGGGAGGAGCAGGGAAGCTGCCCTGCTTCCAGAGGGCACGGCTCAGAGCTGTCTGTTTCACTTCCCTGTTCATGGGCGGGGAGGCAGTCTGCGGCCACATGTGGCTGCCTGGGTTTGTGATCTTGGTGCTGGGAGGCTGTGTGAGTGGCCAGTGGCCAGCATTTGAGGTTCGACAGGGGCAGAAGGGAAGGCAGATGGCTGCATTCCCCTTGGAGGACGAGAGGTTTCAGGGTCTGGTGAGAGCCAGAGCAGTATGGGCTTTGTGGCCAGATGGGAGCCCCAGCTCCACTAGCTCCTGGCCAAGTGGCCTTGGCCAGATTGGTGCTGCTTGAGGCTTGTGCAGCTGGGTATGAGCTGGATGCACTATTCATTGCACAGGGCTCTAGAAATGCAGGGTCTGCTCTCAAAATGAGGGAAAGCCATGGCTCTGGAGGGCAGAATGCACAGTGCATGGTGTGTCGGGAGCGTCTTATTTATTTATTTATTTATTCATTTATTATTATTATTGTTATGGTTTTTTTTTTTTTTTTTTTTGAGACAGGATTTCTCTGTAGCTTCGGAACCTGTCCTGGAACTAGCTCTTTTAGACCAGTCTGGTCTCGAACTCACAGAGATTCACCTGCCTCTGCCTCCCGAGTGCTGGGATTAAAGGCGTGCGCCACCACCCGGCGCGGAGCTCCTTTTTAAACAACCCTGTTGCCCATCTCTCATGGGCTCTTGCAAGTCAGGGTGCTCTGGACAGGCAGCAAGCCTGTAGGAGATACGGGACAGTGTGGGTGACTCTGGGCTCCAGCTGAATTCAAATGTAGCTCTTCTCCCCTCTACATCTTCCTCTTCACCTATGGCTTCCTTCTTCCCTCTCCTCCCTCTCCTCATCCCCTCCTATCCTTCCTCCTCTTCCCCTCTTGTGTCCCTTTGTCCCACCCTGACATCACAACGGAAAACACCCAATTTAGGGCTGGAGTACAAGAGCCTTAACTCAAATCACAAGCTTCAGCATGCAGAGGGACAGAGAGTTTGGAGGACGGAAAGTGTCCCTTGCCTCCGGAGCATGCACCTATAGGCTGCATGGGTCCCCCCCTCCCCACTTTCCCTCCCTCCTTCCTTCCCTGTTTTTTCACGTACCTTCCTTTCTCCTATCCTTCACTGTTGTAAAAGGAGCAGGGGGCTGCGTTCCGGCCACCCGACCACCTGGCTAGTTTTACCTGAAATAATTACACGGAAACTGTATTCATTTAAACACTGCCTGGCCCATTATATCTAGCCTCTTATTGGCTAACTCTCACATGTTAGTTTAACCCATCTCCATTAAGGTGTATTGCCACTTGACTGTGGCTTACCGGCATGAGTCTAACCAGTCTCGGAGAGGAGAGCCATGGTGTCTGCCTGACTCCACTTTCTTTCTCCCAGCATTCTGTTCAGTCAACTCCACTTATCTAAATTCTGCCCTAACAAAAAGCCAAGGCAGTTTCTTTATTTGACCAACGAAAACAACACATAGAAAGAAGCCCCTCCTGTACCACTTCACCTTTCCTTAGTTCCAGGAAAAATGAGGGGAGGCAAAGGAGAGCAAGGCAGGGGAGGGCTTTGTGGTGGGATGGAGCTGGGAAGATCAGGCTGGGGAAACCAGGATGCTAGGGGAAATAGCACATGGTTGCTCCTGGCATGTTCTACCCGTGAGCAGCCATGCTGTTCGGTCCAGAACCTGTTGGTCTGGAAGCTCTTGGAGACAGGCAAGCAGAAGGTTAAATGTGTGTTCTCTATGGCACAGTGGGGTTTGTCCCCACTATTCTGATGTCTACTCATTGTGAACCCAGTGCAGCCTGCCTAACAGCTTTGTATCTTCTTGGTAGAGTATTCAGGAAGGTACCTATCTCCCAGGGTATCTAGAGGATTAAATTCCTGAATGTCAAGAGCTCAGAGTGTCTGACTCAGTAGTGAGTATTGTGTGTTGGGCTCAGAGAGCTTGGATAGTCTGCTTAGCCCTTAATCTTGTGCCAGGGGTCAGAGGTTACAGAAATGAGGTGAAGTATGCAGCATGTGGGACATAGGAGCTGTTTCAAAGGGAAGTGTATTCCCCTTTACACCCTCAGTCAAGTGCCTTTTCCAAGCAGCCACAAGCCCCGGAGATGATCAAGGTTTGCTTAAAGGGCCAGGGCCAGATACAGGGGCATGATTCAGTCACATCTCTCCGGGCATGGCTGGAATTCTCTGAGAGATGTGGTGATTTGGGGGGAGAAATCACTGTGCCTGAGAGGGAAAAGGATGGGATGAAAGGAAGCACTCCCAGAACTGAGGGCAGATAGCTATTCGCCCCAGGCTTGCCCCATACTCTCCTGGCTCTGGTTGGAGGAAACCACTGCTTGGTTCACCATCACATGGTAGCTGGTGTCAAGAGGGACTCACTGTCTGCTGAGGGCCAGTGATTACTTCAATATGTCTTCTCTCTGGGGGAAGAAAGCTAAGGTTTTTCATTCATTTTAGAGATGCTGGGAAGGAGTGATGGGATTGGGTGGCGGGGGAGTTGTTTCTGTGGATCACTGCACCTTCTCTCAGCTTGCCTTCCCTTATGAACAGGCGGGCAGAGTATTAGCTTTGAGATTTCCCACTCTTTCAGGTTCTGTTAGCTGGGTTATGTTTCCTCTCGGGAACAGTCAGAGGATAACTGCACATCCTTTGATTGCTACCCTGGCATCCTGGTGCCCTGCCTGATGGCATCTGAAGCTTTGGGCATGAGCTCCATGTGGATGTTTTGTCAGGAACATTCTGCTGGAATACGGCCACGCCCACTCGTGTGCATGGTGATGGGTGCGTCTGCTGCAGAGCTGAGTGGCAGCAACAGGAACCAGGAA